CCAGTCCCTCTGTCCTGAGCAACAGGAGCCACAAGTACTAGATGTGACTTTATGCTCCAGGTAGGGACTGATTTTGCCAAAAAGGTACATGTCTGGTCTAAGCTGGTCATACACAATTGTCTGTTTTCTACAGAGAAAGAAAATTACTTTAATGGGAACTCAGCTATTCCAAAGGTAGATGGCTAAAAAGCTGAAGCTACATTTGGAGGGTTTTTTTTGTTCCTCCACAGTAGTTGTCAGCTTAGTACCAAAAATTATTAGATTAGACATAGGGTACTTAGGTCGCTAATGTTAACAGTGATCCAAACATTCTTCCATATCTCCTTTGATCTGGAGCTCTAAGTGACACAAAGATGTCATGTTATGAATAAAGTTTCCCAGTAATTTCCATTTGTAGTCTTTTTTTCCTTCGTGATTGCAGCTAATCTATTAGGTTAAAACTAAACCATTCATCTAGAATGTTTCCCTTAATAGAATCAGAGAAAAATAAATAAAAATATTATTTCAGAAACCTCATTGCTTTTCTCTACATGAAAGAATGTAGAAAAAATAAGACGCAAGACTAATTACAAATAATACAGCAACACAAATCAAGAATACTTTATGTTTCCTCTTATAAAACTATGCATTTTTATTTATTTTTAAAGAATAAACTGTCATAGGAAAAATCTCAGTCCATGTGGTTTAAATCACATCAGTATCAAAGCAGTTTATTAATTTATTAATGCTATATAACTAAACAGCAGGCAGTGAGCTATACCTTCAGGATCATATATCAGCAATACAAAAGATAAACTACAATAATAGACACTTAAGAAAGTTTAATAAAGAATTGCAAAATTATAAATGCCCTTCTATAACTAATCCCAAAAAGTTCTAATCACACTCGCAAATGCACAAAACTAGATGTGCACCAAGCTATTCCCAGGCTGCATGGGTCGCCAGCAGCCCCATGGGAGGGGAGTCAAGTTCCCCCATTCTTCATGTGGGACATATGGCTGCTCCAGCATCAGGTGAGTTCCTGCCACTCCTGACCATCCATTGACCCACACAGGGAAAAAATGACGCCACAAGACCTCACACACACCAAGGGGGTCCCTGTGTGCCAGACCACATGGACAGACCTTGGCTGGGTGCAGGTGCCCCACAGGAAGGTGCTCTGTCTAGGCTGGAGGGAGTTTGCAACGTCAGTGGCCACATCTAACAATATCCAGCTGCTGCCCTCTTCCCACATCCCTCTCTCTACTTTTACAAATTACCATACTGCTTCTTCCCTTCTTTTCAAGTTGCCCTTTGCTTCAAGAAACTCTAATACCATTGTTACTGTTCAGTCTGGCTGGTGGTCATCTTTCCCTCTGGCATAAGTTTGGAGCAAATGTCCCCTAAGACATTTTTGGGATATTTCATTCAACTCAGATGAGATGCACTCAAATTCCTATTTTTCAGCTGTTGCTGTCCATGGCATTTTGCAGTGGGAGAGCCATGTGGTCACCCTTCCAAATAATTATTTAAGAGAAGCCAATAACTGAATTTTACTGTTTATTCCTTTCTGTGTCAGCATGTGGGAAAAAACCCCAAACCAAACAAACAAAACACAACACCAAAAATCAAAATAAACCCCTCAAACATTGAGGTGCTGGAGCAGGTCCAGAGAAGGGCAACGAAGCTGGTGAGGGGTCTGGAGCACAAGTCTTACGAGGAGAGGCTGAGGGAACTGGGGTTGTTCAGTCTGGGGAAGAGGAGACTGAGGGGAGACCTTATCGCTCTGTACAAGTACCTGAAAGGAAGCTGTAGAGAGACGGGGGTCGGTCTCTTCTCCCAAGTTACAGATGATAGGACAAGGGGCAATGGCTTCAAATTATGCCAGGGGAAATTCAGGTTAGATATTAGGAAACATTTCTTTACTGAAAGGGTTGTCAGGCATTGGAATGGGCTGCCCAGGGACGTGGTGGAGTCACCATCCCTGGAGGTATTTAAGAAACGTGTAGACATGGTTCTTCAGGGCATGCTCTAGTGCCCAAGATTATTGGTTTGCCGTGGGCTGCTGAGTGGGTGGGTGATGGATTTTTGGTTGGTTTTTTTGTTTTTTTGGGTTTTTTTTTTTTTTGGTTTTTTTTTGTGGTTGGACTCGATGATCTCTGAGGTCCCTTCCAACCACCACAATTCTGTGATTCTGTAAAAATTCTGTAAAACCTCTTTGTTCTGCATATTTAACTATTGCCATTCCTACCTCTGTTGCATTAGGCTAGTAAGAAAAAATTTCTTGTTCTATCAAACTCCCAACCTAAAGATTTTCAGATCACAGAATGCCCTTCAAATCAAGTCAAACCGTAAAATGGAAAATATTCCTAACTGCAATTAAAAACATATACATAAAAGGCACAGAGTATAAATTTACATCACAGGGAAAAAAAAAAAAAAAAAAAGCTGCACTCCTGTTTGTTCGGGATTTTAGGGTGACACATAAAGATACTGCTTTGAAATCTTTACAGTGATCAAAGTAAAAAAATAATGCATCTCTTAGTGTTGTGTATTTTGGACAAATAGTTACTCCTTGCCTGTATTTCTTGAAATGGATTTGAACAAACATTTTGATCTGATATTCTGAGCCTGAAAGAAATTATATCCTCAGCAAGAAAAGACAGATTTATGAATTCAGTTTGTGTCATGTGGGGCTGACACTTTGCCATGATGTTTAGTTTTTAACTTAAGAAAATTTGTTCTTGCAGTTAATGAGAATCAGCAGAGAACTGTGGAAACAAAAAATCTTCATTTGTCTAACATGAGGTATTCACTGACTGCAGTTTTACTCAGTCACCTTTTAGTACATTTGGAAAGAATTCAAAATCACAAAGATCAACCAGCTTTAACTTGATGCTGCTAGAAGAGCTAAGATGTATTTAGGCTCTGAATAATAATTACCATGCTGCTTTAAAGGTTACAACAGTCAGTTTCTCCCAGGGAGGTCATAGTTCTGATTGAATAAAGGCTTAATTATAGAATATTATAGAACATTGCGGTGAGCTGCAGCAACAAAGCCAGCAAGTGGGTTATTCTTTCTTTGACAGTCCTAAAAAGTTAATAAAGGCATGTGAAGAAGAGAAAAACACATCTGTTAAAAATATTTAGGCAATTATGGATTAATAGTTTGTTTGTTTTTCCCATCGGTATAGGAGAGAAAAAAGGAGATGTCACTGCTGTTGTAACTACTGTGCTTTCTTTTTTATGAGTAAGCCATATCAAATGCCATTTAGCAATAAGGATGTGATTCATACTACTGCAATTGAAGCAACTGCTTTGTGAAAAATACAGGGACTCATCAGACACTTGCTGACATTGAATACCTATTAATAATTACTAATTAAATATGAAAAAGATTATTTTGGGTGCAAGGTAATACATTCCATTCAATCATGCCTAACCTTTCATGTGGGAATTTATGCCACCATAATGTAGGTCATATAACATTCTGTATTTAGAGTTTAGTTCTTATGTGGTCTTGCTTTTAAACCTTGAGGCTGGATTTTGCATCTCATTGTAGGAATTTTACCATAGAGAACATCATAGAAATACATGTGTGAATTTCTGACGTCTTATTTCTTCTTTTCTCTTGCTTTCCTTCTCTTCCGCCTCCTCCTTATTGTGAATCCCTTACACATTGTGAATTTTCTTTCTTCCCATCACTAAAAAAAGTAACTACAGCTACTTCAAAGAGATCTGTTCCCCTTTGCCAAAGAAGGTGAAATGTACTATGAGGTCATTTTATTCCCTAGGGACCTCAGGCTTCCCTTGCAGTCCTTCTTAGGAGCATGGAAGTCTTGTTACAGCAGGATAAGGTGGCTCAAGATTACAAACTGTCTCATCTCAAACTGCTCCAGGAATACAGATCTCCTGAGTCCCTCTTCTGGCAATTTTTTCTAAACTGATAATTAGCCAGCCAAGTGATTTCTTTGTTTTGTCTTGATAAGCAGCCATCATCGATGGCTAGATCAGTGATGTCCATCTGAAAACTTCCATATGCTGTAAGGTATTCTAATAGACTTCTGACTCCAGTTGTCTGACAGAAAAAAATCTGTGGGAGCTGAAAAGAGGAGTGAGAGTACATGGCTCACTGTGGTAATCTGGATGCAGCACAAGCTCTTAACTGTGAATGATAGGCAGTACGGATAACTGCAATGTTTCACCTTAGCTGGTTTCAGAAAACCAAAATTAATTTCAGTACTAGCCTTTTGGTCATTTTGTTCTTAGTTGCAAGACAGTAGCAAACATGTCATGCTTTGTCTTTAAAATCTGATAACCACAGTACAGGAACAAAAAATTACAGCTCAGCTTTCCCTGCAATTTCCAAGGAAAGAAACAAAACCTGATTTGTTCAGATAAAATCTCCCAACAAAAAGCTGAATTGAGAAGGATTTGCCTGCTATCTTACTAATAAATACCCTCTGTGAAATCGGAGTGTGTTTTTTTCCTAGGCATTTTTCCTGTTCCTTTTACTACTTTGTTCATCCTTCTTTTTCTGAGTATGTGTATTTATATCACAAGTATAAGAATTTAAAGAACTATGTAGATCAGGAAAATTTTGGTCTGTGGTAAGGAGCCCTTAATGTGTTAGACAGCCTTGTTCTCAGTGGAAGTCTGTGTATCATACTTCTTAGCACAAAAATGATTTTGTGAGTTTCTGTACATTACATACAGTTATCAAATGTTTAACATCTTCAGTCTGTATTGTTGCATTGATATAGAATTATTTCAAAAAGGAAATAATGATTTTTCACAAATGTGACCTCTGCAGTAGGGAAAAATAAAGCAAAACCAAACAGCATACAGAATGAGTCCCACTGCCTGCGCTGGAGACATTTGACTAGGACTGTGACCTTTAAAAAAAGAAGGGAAAAAAAAGCCTAGAAGATGAAAAGATGGGTAGATGTGTTGTGAATATGTGGATACCCTGTAGCTAACTCTGTATCTGGTGAACTAAAATTATCTTTTTTGCCTTATAGGTTTTTTAAGTACTGGGGACCAAGCTGCAAAAGGCAATTATGGATTGCTTGACCAAATCCAAGCTTTACGTTGGATTGAAGAAAATATTGGATCTTTTGGAGGAGACCCAAAAAGAGTTACTATTTTTGGATCTGGGGCAGGAGCTTCCTGTGTCAGTCTCCTGACACTCTCTCACTATTCAGAAGGTAACAATCTTCTGAGCAAAGCACTTTTTTTTTTTAAACAATATAGTGTAACAAAAATGACTATTATCAGGTAGGCTGAGTTAGAATTACATGGTTCGTAATTTTTAAAAAGTGACTACAACTTAGTATTCTGTATTTATGTTAATCAACTTAAATATTTTTATATGAAAAATTAAATGCTATTAAAGCAGAAGTTTCATGCAACAAACACCATCGGCATTATATTTTTTCTAGCTTTATCGAGAGTCTCCACTGGCTCTTCTATCAAAGAATATGCCCTAATTAAAATGGAAAAGGGCAGTGACCTTTCTCATTTTACACACAGTCTTGGCTGCACTTACAACATGTATTTAGATGCTTTCCTTATGAAATAATAACATAACTTAACCTTATTAAGAAATCTATTTAACTCCTGACAAGTCCTGTGTGATCCCACACAGAGTTCTTACGATTTTCATGTTTGAGATGTGCGATTTCTACCCCCCTATGCCTCCAAAAAAAAACCCACATAAGAATATACAACACCATTACTGAACCATAAAAAATCCTGGTGATAAGACCATATCTACAAAGAATTTATAGAAGACAAGATGAAAAGATCTGTTCATGCTACTTCTATCGCATTAAAACAGATAGAAATACGTGGCAGGAGGCTAAGCCCTAGCAAGCAATTGTAGCAAGGCTGCTGGTAAACACACCTTATTTGGAAATGCATAAAATTATGCCTGACAATTTAGTCTATTGATACAAATAGGGTGCCGTGAATAACTGTTAAGGCATGACAAAATCAAGCAGATGGAACCATGAAAAACTTAACTAATCATATAATTGAAATTTTGTAGCATGTGCAGTAAGTAATCATCACAAAGGTGTATTGACCACAACCACTTTTACCCATAAATGGTTCAAGGTATTTAAATGTTTTTGTAGCTGTTGCTGTATTTGACATTTCAAGAGCTTGCCAGGAGAAACTATATGCAGAAGGGGCCCAGGTATTTTATTTTAAAATAGGCCATTTTAGTGATCTTACCGGGAAAAAAAAGTGGGGCAGATTTACCAGTAAGCTCCAGTTGCTTTTCAGTACTCTGGTGACCCAAAGAAGCTCTTCAGTCCATGTCTTCCATCTTTCTTTGTATTAATACATATAAAACAACCAGAAAAAAACTATTGAATCTCATCATACTGTCTTCCAATGTAAATATATTTTAAGTCAACATAAAGACAGTACTAACACACACACACAAAAAAAATAGAATGATAAACAAAAAATTATGGCAGAGTAGAATACTCAAGCTTATTAAATTGATTTTAGCAGAGCAGATTTTTTCAAATTATGATGCATGGCTTCTGTGAAGGAAATGAGAGTGTGCAATTTTCATTTGACCTTTAAACAACTGAAGAGCACATTTATGGGAGTCATTTACATGGTGAAGAGGATATGATTGCTTGTAGCTGCCACTCCTTTAAAGAAATTTTTACAGGACTACTACTGTGCTAAAGCCAGGGACTTCCATTAAAGATGCAAGAAAACTGCAGTACAAGCATGAGTTTTGTTCTTGAAGCAGTAACATGAAACCTTCATGCTTTAGCATCAAGAACAAGAGAGATTTTAATTAGTAGCCTATTAGAGATACTGTAAAAAGGGAGCAGTGAGTAGAACACATGGAAATTGAATTGAAATTTAGATATATGCATTCTTTAGTTATTGTGCAATCAAAGCTTTCTTTGCTTAGTGAAAGCTGCTTTTAATTATTTTGTTTAATATATAACTGGATCTGCATTTAAACAATTTGCACCTGCAGGTTTGTTCCAAAAGGCAATCATACAGAGTGGAACAGCCCTGTCCAGCTGGGCGGTGAACTACCAGCCTGCCAAGTACACTCGGATATTGGCAGATAAAGTGGGCTGTGACATGCTGGATACCACTGATTTGGTTGAATGTCTTCGGAATAAGAATTACAAAGAACTCATTCAACAGACCATAACTCCAGCCACGTACCACATTGCTTTTGGGCCTGTCATAGATGGAGACGTGATTCCAGATGACCCTCAGATTCTCATGGAGCAAGGGGAATTCCTTAACTATGACATAATGCTAGGCGTAAATCAAGGGGAAGGTTTAAAATTTGTCGACGGCATTGTAGATAATGAAGATGGTGTATCTCCCAATGATTTTGACTTTTCTGTCTCCAATTTTGTGGACAATCTATATGGTTATCCAGAAGGGAAAGATACACTGCGAGAGACCATTAAATTCATGTACACCGACTGGGCAGACAAAGAAAACCCTGAAACAAGACGGAAGACCCTGGTTGCTCTTTTTACAGACCACCAGTGGGTTGCTCCGGCTGTTGCTACCGCTGACCTGCATGCCCAGTATGGTTCTCCAACATATTTTTATGCGTTTTATCACCATTGCCAAAGTGAAATGAAACCCAGCTGGGCTGATTCAGCACATGGTGATGAAGTTCCTTATGTGTTTGGGATTCCTATGATTGGCCCCACAGAACTGTTCAACTGCAACTTTTCCAAGAATGATGTCATGCTCAGTGCAGTAGTAATGACGTACTGGACTAACTTCGCCAAAACTGGGTGAGTTTGACCTCCAGCATTCATTTTTGTTGATAACATACTCCTAAAATAGTCTGTATCCTATAGCAGTGGCTTCAAACACTGATCTTGCAGCAGTATTATAGCACTATTTGCGTAAGAGAGAAGGTAACTGGGGCTTATTCATATTTAATAGATTTTTAATTAGTGTGTTCCCTCAAACTCTTTTCTTTCTTAGCTCAGTGAGAATAATAACGCACTTTATTTTTGATTCAAAAAATAGGGCAATTATTAAGACAAAACATGTCTCAGAGAAAAGGCGGCTCACTAAGATACCAAAAAAATCAGAGGCAACATGTCTGCTACTTGAATAACGAACTCTCAGGCAGATAGCACTTCTCTGCTACAAAAGAAAGGAAGTTCTTGTTTTTAGCGACCTTCACAGGGATGGGGACTCAGGGAGGAAATGAAACAGAAAGGAAGACACTGGAAAGGTTTTTCCCTCTGAGGGCTATAATGGGAATAATAAGTACTTGACTGGAATGAAGAAGAGACTCAGGTATAAATTTTGCTTTGAGAAGGTTAAAAATTTAAATTAATTCTGCTTATAAAACAAAATAAAGACATCAAAGTTTTACTGAAATAGAGTTGTAAACATCAAGGAGAGAACCCTCAAAGCAGCTTAATCTGCAAGTGCTATTAATAATTTCTCTTCCTATAGCATTCCTTTAAAGAGTATTGCAGTGTTTTACTTGAGCAGCAAGAGCTTTTTTGTTAACCTTGAGTCTTCGGTACTGAATTAAAACAAAGATACTTGTGTCACAAGGGGGCTGTAAATCTTTCCAATGAATGTTTAATGGCAGGATTGGGCTCTGGAAACTGCAGCTCTGCTGCACTGCAGTGAATGGTATGCAGCTATAGAAGAAAAATTCAGAGATGCCTAGTGTGAAATGCTCAGAGGCTTCAACAGCTCTTGCAGCTTTTAATGAATCCAAATGACATTCAAGGGAGAGAGATTTTGCAGCCTTAACAAAAACCTTGAGCATGAATTGAGTAACAAACAAATGCTTCAGGTCAATTTACAAGGCAAAAAGAAAGCTTTTGTTGCACTCTATTTTAGACACACAGGCACTTTTGCATGCAGAAATCCCACAGTACTGCAACAATAGTGAATGATCTGTGGAGTATTTAGATGTATTTGGCAACAAGTCATCAGTACTGGGATGGTCAAATTTCAGGATGAAAACTTGGTTTATGGACAGAGAATGCTGCATGCTGGCTGTACCACACACTCAGAAAGATGATTATACCATCAGTCTGTCTTTATTTTTATAGATGAAGTGCCACATATACATAGAGGATTTCAGATCCTCACATATATACATTATTGGTATTATCATGGAGATGCAAGATCTCCACTGTCTCACTATTATTTACAATTACTTTATGACTATTCCCTGTAGCGGCATTTAAGCAATTTTTGGAGGCTGACAGGAGCTTTTCACAGCCCCAGCTGCCACCCTTTGCTCAGAATTGCAAGCACTTTCCAGCTGTTGCTACTTGAAACCTAATTTCAGAAGGCTATGCATGCTATCACCCAGTTCTCTGGTTATGAACCCATTGTCATACTACACCTAAAGGCCCAGCAAGTGCTTTGGGAGAGCCATTAGTCATTTCTGAAACTTGACCATTGTTGATGAGACAGGAGTGGGATATACCTTCTGTTACAAACTTGCCCCTTTATAGACAGTGTGAAAGATGTGTCATTACAAATGACTAGCTGTAAAATTTCAGTTTTCACAAGGAAAGGAAAAGAGCAACCCAAGATATATTACCTTGCTGTTTTTTTTAAATTTGTTTGTATGAACAATGATTAATTTTTCTGGATAGTACAAGAGGATACTTGGAGGAACATAATACCTTAAGATTACATTTGCTTTGCACCTCTGGTGCCTCCAATGAAACAGGGAAGGTTGTCCTCAAGCCTAGGGCAACTGGGAACATATCTGGGGTAACAGTTCTCCCCTTTACCCTCCCACATGTATTGTGAAATCCATTGCCCACTCAGGTCCTCCAACTCTCAAAAAAATTGATACCATTCAAGACTGTGCTGTTGGGGGGTTGTTTTGGGGTTTTTTTCCACCCTTTTTTTAATTTATTGTTTCCCATCCTTATTCTGGTGGAACTTGGCTTTCTTTGTGTTTGTACCCATGGCAACACACATGAAAAATCTGTTAACTGCAAGGTTTTATGATTCCACATTTCCCTGTAGGTGACCCTTGAACATTAAAACTGCAGATTTATTTATTTCATTTTAATGTCTGTGAGACTTTTCCCATCTTGATGACTCTCCTACAGAGGCTGCATCCAGGTACTTACTCTATAATTACAGCTCAGGTGGTACATCTTTCTGATGGACTGTGCTGAGCTTTTAACTGACATGCAACCCACTGCTGAAAAACACATATTGTTTAATGGGCCTACTGCCAAGACTGCATTTGGAGGGCAGGTCAATCCTGTAATATCACTAGGTGTCAAAGACACAGCACAAGGCACAGAATTTTTATTGTGTTTTACTTTGAAGTCAGTTACTGAAGCTAGCAAATAGGAGGTGACAATTAAAGTGACTGTTTAATGGCAAATGGATCATGCTTGAAACTAATACTTGGAAGCTGTATTCTAGGTGTCAAAGACACAGCACAAGGCACAGAATTTTTATTGTGTTTTACTTTGAAGTCAGTTACTGAAGCTAGCAAATAGGAGGTGACAATTAAAGTGACTGTTTAATGGCAAATGGATCATGCTTGAAACTAATACTTGGAAGTATTAGTATACTTGTTAATCCTCCATTTTCTACCTTGCTATAATTTTTCTTTTTTTTTTTTTTCTTTTCATTAACAGTCATTTTGGCCTTTTCAAAGCTATATTTCTAACATGCCTTAGAAATAGAAAAGCAATTTATTACAGAGCAGGTGTGAGAAACTACATTTGGGATACAAAAATTACATGAAAATATGGGGTTTGATTCTGCTATGTGCAAAACTATGTGTGAGAGCTTCATTAAGAGGTACACTTAAAGCTTCAGTTTGCTGCCAGTAGTACTATCCTAACTGTAATGGTAATTTTATATGCTCAAATGTTCTGTTAGTTAAGGCCATGTAACATGCTTCAGATACATCAGCGGGGGACAGTGAATGATGGGGGAAGGGTGCCAATATTTCACAGATACTCTGCCAGCTACACTCTTGTGAAGTATAGAAGTTTAATAGGGTATATATAAAGCTATACTCTCTTTAGAGGCCCCCCCTATCAGTTTTCTAAAAATTACCCTCTTTTGAGGAGTTACAATATTTTTGCTCCCATCCATGCAATTCTACCTGGTTTGGTGATGGGAAAGATAAAAGCTTACAGGATGTATCCTTGTTTTCTTTGGAATTCAGATAAACAGTCCTGAATTATTTTACACTGATTATGAAGAAAAAAACTGAGCTATTAAGGATGTCTATATTTAATATTCAGTTTGGCTTTCTAATGGAAGACACAATTAAACTTGCAATTATTAAAGTGTGTTTTCAAATCAATTCTCTGTGAACTCGTTTATGAGGCTGTTGCATTTCTTTCTGAAGAAATAACTGTCTCCAATGGCCAACCTGTGTTAGTCCAACAAAACAGTGTACTTATGGTTTGGTTTCCTTAGTAGTTGTAATAGTTGACTGGGAGCATGGCAACAGTGGGACCTGGTGATAAGTGAGGAAAGGAAGTAAGGGAAAATATGCCTGTGTATCAGTGCTTCAGGCAGGAATGACTGTACAATTATTAATGTCGTGACAACGTGAAAATCAGTGGAAGCATAAAGAAATGCCACACAGTTTTTCTCTCTCTCTCTTTTTTTTTTTTCTTTCCATATGGAGAAAAGAGGACTGCTGAAAAAAAATAAATGATCAAGAGGTCTTTCAGTATCTTGGAGACAGACTCAGTATGTAACTATTAAGACATTTTGCTCTCCAATGAACTTAGAGAATGACACAAACGAATAAAACACTTTAAGCACATTAAAGTAACAGTTCCACTGTCCTGAGCGATAGTTAATGCTCTTGCAGAAGTAGTTAAAAGATGAATGGTATTTCAACTTCATGTGGAATTCAGGATAATAGAAAACTTCTAAAAAAGTAAAGCCTTTCACAACATTTCCCACAGCACTCTCCTGGATAAACTGGTTACTTATGGCTTGGATGGATGTACTCTATGCTGGCTAAAAAACTGGCTGGATGGCTGGACCCAAATAGTGGTGGTGAATGGAGCTAAATCCAGTTGCAGCCAGTTACAAGTGGTGTTCCCCAGGACTCAGTACTGGGGCCATTTCTGTTTACTATCTTTATCAATGATCTGGACAATGTGATCAAGTTTGCAGACAACACCAAGTTGGGTGGGAGTGTTGATCTGATTGAGAGTAGGATGGCTCTACAGAGGGATCTGGACAGGCTGACTCAGTGGAATGGTATAAGTTCAACAAGCCCAAGTGCTGGGTCTTGCGTTTAGATCACAATAACCCCATGCAAAGCTACAGACTTGGGGAAGAGTGGTTGGAAAGCTGCCTGGTGGAAAAGGACCGAGAGGTATTGATCGACAGCCAGCTAAATATGAGCCAGCAGTGTGCACAGGTGGCCAAGAAGGCCAACAACATCATGGCCTGTATCTGAAATACTGTGGCCAGCAGGACTAGGGAAGTGATTGTCCCTCTACACTCAGCACTGGTGAGACCACACCTTGAATAGTATGTTCAGTTTTGACCCTCTCGTTTCTGGAGGTACATTGAGATTCTGGAGTGAGTCCAAAGAATAATGAAGTTCATGAGTGGTTTAGAGTACAAGTCTTATGAAGAGGGGGTGAGGGAACTACAGTTGTTTAGTCTGGAGAAAAGGAGGCAGAGGGGAGACCTTATGGCTCTCTACAATTACCTGAAAGGAGGCTGTAGAGAGGTGGTTTTGTCCCTTCTCCTAAGTGACAATCAATAGTACAAGAGGAAACAGCCTCAAGTTGCTCCAGGATAGGTTTAGATTGAATATTCGGAAAAATTTCTTCACTGAAAGGATTGTCAAGCACTGGAACAGGCTTCCCAGGGAAGTGGTTGAGTCACCATCCCTGTAGGTATTTAAAAGACATGTAGATACGGTGCTTAGGGACATGTTTTTTTGGTGGACATGGCAGTGCTAGGTTAATGGTTGGACTTCATGGTCTTAAAGGTCACTTCCAAACAAAACAATTCTTTGCTTCTAAGATTCCGATCATTCTTCCCTTTCCAATACCACCAGATATGAAACACTCAGTTCCCTCATTTGACCTCCAGGTCAGCTACTAATTCACCCTGTGAATAGGAATGTGTGTTGCTCTTCAGGCAGCATTCACTGCAGACACATTTACTTTGTATTTCACCCAAGAGAAAAATCACTGAACACCAACCAACATGATAAATTAAGAAAAATCAGTGCAGATTGAAAGTGGGGAAAAGAAGTGGTAGGTGAAATCAGATGATTCTACGAAAAATAATCTTAGAAAGAGGTCTGCTATTACATGGAAAAGTTCAGTCATTTCATTATGGTGGCATTTTTTTGATGGAGAAGCTGTTAAAATTAAATTCTAAAGCTGGTGAAATAAATAATTAGAAGGCAAAATGAATAACAATGATCACCAATTTTGTTCTAGCAATAGGATGAAGAAAAAACAAAAGGGCTCCCTGCCAACTAGTAGGACTGGGACAAAAGTTATTTAGTCTCTATGAGAGCCATTACTGGAAGAAGTACAGAACTGAAAATGTATTTTTATCACCAGGATTACAATGGGTTTTAAATGAAGCTTTTCTAACAGCCTTTTGTTCTGTAATTATACACTCGAGCCTCAAGAGCATCCAGAAACACAAAGGTGATGTGAGACACTAAAAAATGCGAAAGGAATTTGAACTTTGAGTAAGAGATCAAAAGTTTTGTCAAACAGCTGATTTCTTAGGAGAAATTATTTTATGTACATTTGTATTTCATGCCTATATATAATACTGGGAAATGGTTCATAATAGGATAAACTGCCCAACTTCTCAAGAAAAAAACATGTCATAAATTGTAACCTTACAATTTTATTAATTGTCTCCAACGTACATAGGTGGAGGGCCCAGGAAAATAAAAGTCCTATTATTTATATCCACTAAATATTTTTGGTAAACTTTCACTAGTCTGTAAAACCAAGATGCATTACTAGATCTTCTGTTTAGGCCTGGATTTAGTTATTCTATTTTCTTGTGGGAAAAAAAAAAATCATTTAAATGCCTATCCTCCAAATTCAGAGAGAATATTCAGAGAGACCATTTATTCAGTTATTAAGTGATCAACCCTAGAGTTGATGCCAATGGTAGAGGTCTGACACTCTCAGCAAAGAAATTACTTGTAGGGTTGGCTGATATTTTTTTCTGTTATTTGTTTCAATGAACAGCTTCATGCCCACACACAGCCATGTAAACAAATTCTGAAATACAAGAGTACCCTCACATAATTTAGCTTTCTCTCTTGCATTTGGATGAGGTGGCATCATAATTGGCTATTCCTAATAGATAGAGTTAAAAAGGAGAGATGGATGTAGATAGAGCTATCTGCTGTCATTTTTATAGGGCGATTAGAAAAAAGAAAGAATAAAAAAAGAAGTGAATGTCCACTTGGTTCATTGAAATGAATGCTCAGCTTCTTCATCTCCTGTATATGTATCAAGTGCAACTCACTTACATGAGCCAGCTTAATTTATAAATCTTTTGTAGGACTATCCCCAGAGTCTTTTTGTACTGTGAATCAGAACAGCAAGTGGAGCGAACACGAGATGGATTTTGTGTTGTAACTCTTGCAGGATTTTAAGTTCTTGACAAGAATAAGCTTTGCAAATCTTGCTGATTTTCAATTTAGTTTAGAATTTATCTATTGAACCCCAAAGACTTATAGTGTGTGTGTGTGTGTGTGTGTATACATATATATATATGTATTAAATTGGATCAATATGTTCCTCTGTGGATTTGCCAAATCTTTCAGTTTTTTAAAAGAATACTTTTATTTCCTTCTTGAATGCATGTTGAGAACCTCAAAGTAGCAGCATACATCTGCTGCTTGGAAGTGGATATTAGTCCTCCAGCTTCAACTAGGATGAACAATTATTAAAGATCTATCTTTTTGTTCAGAATTAACAATTTGGCCAACTTTACTACGTAAAATGAAAAACAAAAAAATATATGGATGGATGGATGGATGGATGGATGGATGGATGGATGGATAGATAGATAGATAGATAGATAGATAGATAGATAGATAGATAGATAAACAAACAGACAGACAGAAAGAGACAGACAGATAGATGTAATATTCACTGTACCACAGTGCTGGAACCCCTGGTTTATATCTTACTGAGATGAGATGAGAAAGACTGGATACAGTGTAATATTTACACAACAAACAAACCACTTAAAAGACACCTAAACCCACAAGAATAAGTGCAGCAAAATACCAAAATTATATAGAAAAAAATTCTTTCATTCAAAAGAAGGTAAGATAAATTCTTTCAGGTAAACAGATGAATACAAGAACCATGAGATTATTAAAGTCAAATTACCAGTCCAGTTTATGAGCTAAGGAATAGCTCTTTATGAACAGCAAAAGTGCTAAACTAGACAATCATGTTTGTGAGCTTTTGAAAAAGGAAAAAGGAAAAAATTAAGATGCTTTAAAATCTGTAGAGGTGGGTCTTAGTATTCCTGTAACATACATAACAGTATATTGGAAGAAAAGGAAAATATTAGAATCATTTTAACAGGAAATAAACTAATGCACATGGGAAAAGAGAATGGAAAGTTCTGAGTAATGCACAGAAAGTGAGTCATGTACTGTCAGTATAATTTATCACAAAGTCCCAGAAAACATGCATTCCTGTAAAAGATAAATCAAACTCATGCACGACAGAATATTAATTTTGGTATTAATAATTTTAAATTTCTGTATGTTTTCATGCCAAGAGGAAGACATATTTGCATAAGGTTTAGTAAAATTACAAGGATACATAGACATTAACCACATTTACATGCTTTTTTGCCATTGGTTTGTCTTTATTCTGAACCTATAACAAGAAAAGGAAAAAAAGAAAAGATGGGAAAAGTATAATTTCATTTAAGTATTTGGGTTACCAGTTTTGAAATGTTCTCTGAGTAGTATATTACTCTTAGCTCTACTACTAGTAACTATTATAAAATTCATTGATCTCAGCTAATATATCTCCCATCTGTACAAACCAGGACAGAATTAAGGCTCAGTGTCTTATGGCCAGTAAACAGTTATTTAGTAGCACACTCAACATTCAAATAGTAATCTCTTAATGAAAATGATGGAAAAAATTGTAATATACAAATACTTCAAAGGCTTTTCCCTGAAGCAGATATTTGAACAAAGGGGGATTAATAACTCAGTAATGAAACACAGAGAGAAATAGTTCCTAATTACATGTATTAGCCCTGTGTCTTCATGTTTAGATATTTTTTATGTATTATACATAGCTAGTGTAAATTCTTGCTATCATATGGACTTCCAACATTGCCATAGGGATTGGATGCCCATATTTACTACTTACAGCAGTGGAAGTAATGGTACCTTAAGTGAGAAAGTTAATATCAAACCTTGAGAAGAGCTGAACCCCATTTTTACTATGGGGAAAGGTAGTTAGCACCTCTCTAAGACAGTTTTGGAGTATGATACTGAACTGCAGATGAGCTTTTGGGACCTGAAACACAACCCTTTCTTCGTTTTCATGTCAGAAAGTATTATACTGTTTGAGAATCACTGTACAGTAAGTAATATTTCTTGTGATTATTTATTAACATCTGTTTTTAAGTTTGGGAGGGTTTTTTAGCTTCTGTTTTTAGGTTATGTTAATTATCAAATAAACCAATAACTAAAGGATGGAAAGTTTTTTGGTGTTTGCTTTTGGTTTTGTTTTTTTTTAATGACTATAATATCACTTGTTTTTTGTTTTTATAGAGATCCAAATCAGCCTGTTCCACAGGACACAAAGTTCATCCACACAAAACCCAACCGCTTTGAAGAAGTGGCGTGGTCCAAATATAATCCTAAAGACCAGCTTTATCTGCATATTGGCCTGAAACCCCGAGTTCGTGATCACTACCGAGCAACAAAAGTTGCTTTCTGGTTGGAGTTAGTACCACACCTTCACAACCTGAATGAAATATTTCAGTACGTTTCCACAACAACTAAAGTCCCCCCTCCTGACATGACATCATTTCCTTATGTGACACGACGTTCTCCTGGTAAATTGTGGCCAGCCACCAAACGCCCAGCAATGACACCTGCCAACAATCCCAAACATTCAAAAGATACCCATAAAACAGCTCCAGAGGATACGACAGTTCTGATAGAAAACAAGCGAGATTATTCCACAGAGCTGAGTGTCACCATTGCTGTGGGGGCGTCCTTGCTGTTCCTCAATATTTTAGCTTTTGCTGCATTATATTACAAGAAGGACAAGCGGCGTCATGAGACTCACAGGCGCCCTAGCCCCCAGAGGAACACAACCAACGATATCGCGCACATACAAAATGAAGAGATTATGTCATTGCAGATGAAACAGCTAGAACATGACCACGAGTGTGAATCGCTGCAGGCCCATGACACACTGAGACTAACCTGTCCACCTGACTACACGCTTACTTTGAGAAGGTCCCCAGATGACATCCCTTTAATGACACCCAACACCATAACCATGATTCCAAATACATTAACAGGAATGCAGCCTTTGCATACTTTCAACACCTTCAGTGGAGGACAAAACAGTACAAATTTGCCCCATGGACATTCGACCACTAGGGTATAGCTCAGCCCTTCCCCCTCTACCCTCACAAGCCACTTGGAAGAAAGAAGAAAAAAAAAAAAAAACGAAAAAAAAAAAACAGAAGAGGAAAAAGTTATAACATCCATTGAACACCTTGTCAAAATCTAAAGTAAAAACAAGTAAAAGAGAAGGACAGTCATTATTTTCTTACTGATCCTTCCCACTGAGACTCTCTGATGTTAAAGATCAGCTACAAACCCTGTGAAATGTGAAAAGTGTACATTGCTGTTACGATACTGCTTTAAGATCTCAGCCACTTTGATTGAAAGTTGAGGCCAGAAGTCGTCACTTAAAATGGTGTTTTGAGTGTAGGAAGCAAAGCAGAATCTTCTGGAACACAGAGCCAGTGACTGTACAGGTGTTTTGGTTTGGGTTTTTTTGTTGTTGTTTTTTTTTTTTTAATAAATAAAATAATTAAAAAAATTCTTTATGTGCCATACCATGAATGGCCCTTGTTAAAACAAAGACGTCACCATGGGCTTTTACCCAGCATATGAAGCTGTAATCCAGATGGGGGAAATAGAATTTTATTATTAAAAACAAAAATGAAAAAAAAAAAAGAGGAGGACTGACTATGCAGTAAAATACGTATAGTTCTGTGCAAAGAGATGACTTGCCAGCCTGAACTATATTTAAAGATACTTTGTAAAAATGTACATAGCTGTGAGTTTAAAAACAAACAAAAAAGGAAGCTTTTATTGATGTTTTCAGTTTGAAAAGAGCTTTTAGGAAGATTGTGCATTCTGTTGTGACCTATGTGTATATACATTAGTCATATCACCTCTGTTTCCTCCAAGCCCAAAGGAGGAATTTCTTCTTAAGTACTAGTGGTAAACAAAAACCATGAGTTTTTTCTAACATGTTTCATTTATATAAGGCCATGGTGTCATGCAGAGGATACAGTTGTCTGTGTGACCTGCATATTTTCTCTTACAGGTTACACTAATGCATGTTAAAGTATTCATAGGAGATTGTTGTTCTTTTCTGAAACTTTTTTTTATCTAATTTAATTTTGTGTTATCCTTTGTTAAATTGCAACACAGCAATGGATTGGAAAATGGAGGAAAGAAAAACCTGAAAAGAAAATAATTACTATTTTAAGCTTGTTGAACAGAACCAAGAAACATCCAATAATATATATACAGAGTCCAGTTTGTAGTTCTTGGTTGTTGTGATACATTAGGAAGAGTTTTGTGCCCTGACAAAAGCAAAGAAAGCCTGTGTTTTGGTCAGCCTTTTCTTAGGAAACCTAGCTCTATATTCACCAGCGTTGCAGTGGAATCTCAGTTGAGAAAGCACGTCCTTAGCTTTGCTAAATGAAATAAACCCACAATTTGAAAGTGGGGGAATGATGGATTGTTTGGCTGGCTGTTTTTTAAAATGTTCCAAAATTATCCGTGTGTAAAGAGCTTCTCTACCCAGTATCATTTTGTGAGAGCATACCTGTCAGAAAATAATTTTTTTGCTGATTTATTACACAGCAGTCCCATAGTCAGTGAACATTAGGGAGAGAGAAGCAGAGAGTTGTCAGCTGTTCTGCATCTGAATAAAAGGGAAAATCCCAGAGAGTATCACTCTCCAGAAGGGCAAAATTCTTAGCTGATTATTCCCTTCCAGTATTCCTTAACTAGAAAACAAGGTGCCAAGCAGAGCTATCAAACAAAGGAACTCAGCAGTTTGATTCAAACAACTGATTTGAATGTGGAAAGCTAGAAATAAGTTCTTGCAGATGAAGATTGCTTTATATTTTGTCTTTGAAAGTTACTTCATCATCGAGAGACAGTAACCAAAGATATTTGAACAAATCGGTCTGCACTTGAACATGATTATCCCAGATGTATTTTCTATTATTAATTCACAACTAAGCTGCATCAATATCATATGTCCCATAATTATCTAACACAAGATGCCTTGTACCTCTTCTTGTTTTCTATGGTTTTTTTCCTAATAAAATATCTTGGAATAGTGACCCCTACAAATAAAATTAAAGACAAGGTGATTCACTGAGGTCTATTCATCTGCACAATTCCTTGCTATAGCAGGCAGTAAAACAGATTCTGAAGGAAAGAAATAAAAAGAAAGTTAATGACATTATAAAACTGCAACAGGTGGCTGATATAATTCTTTATCTGTAGTAAATGTGCTATAAACCTGACCTGGATGCTCAGGTTGGAATGTGACAGAGCAACAACCCCAAAGTACTAGTAGCAAATGGAAAACTGTTGGTTTTTTTTCACTGATCCATCACATGTTAATTAATGCTGACTCTATACCAGGCCATTTCCACCACCTATGTAATGCCTCAGCTGAGATGCAGCCATTCATAACTCTTTTTAAAAAGGTGAAAAAAAAGAAAAAAAGAAAAAAAAGAAAAAAAAGTAAAAAAAGGTAATGATGCTTGGCATCATAATCAGTTGGGTATGTTTGTAATGTGAATTAAAGTATTTGTTTAGTACTTCCAATTGTCTTCTGCTAGCAATATGTACAGTACTGTGTCAGGCTTGTGACATTTGGGTAAAAAACCAGTTCCTGTAAGTGAATGATTTTAGCTTTTAAAAATAATTACAATCAAGTTGATTTAATAATTTGATATATCTGGACTGATGTATGATTTATAGAGGGAAAAGATTTATAGGGTCTTCATAGAATTCTATAATAATGATGATATCAAAATATACTTTGCAAACTGTAAAAGAAAAAAGTACTTTCCCAGGCTTATATTCTTGACCTTAAGAGGCACGCAGGGTTTAATGGTTTCTTCTGTTATTGTTTTGCAATTTTTTGTTTTTTGCCTTAAGTAATGATAGAAGATATATATGGCTGGACACATATGTATAAACTTTTCAGCAGCATTTTTAATAATAAAATATCACAGTATTTTCTAATGCTTTGTGCAAAGAACTACGTGTTCATCCTTTTGTGTAGAAAGTCTTTCAGAGGTCTGTTTTCTGCCCCATCTCCGTTTCATTATCTAATGTAAACAATGCCTTGATACACAGTATGAAAATATTAAAATAACAGAGGTTGCACTTTTAAGTTAGCAATGAGTTTTCATGGCTTTTGTAGTTCTATAAGCCTGCCAGTAAAAGGAAAGAAACTCAGACAATGAAGGTATAAGAGAATAAGCTCCCTATATTTATTACCTGTAAGCACTGCAACTCCCATTGAAGCAATTGTTTAATTGTTCTGTTAGTATATTCTGTAGCGCTGAAAAAACGCTTAAGAAAGCAGCTTCCCATATTAGTGTGTAGCTTTGCAGCTGAAAAATGTATCTTCCAAATTAGGGATCAAAATAATTCAGATAAATCTAATAAATCGAGGCTCCACAAGTAAATATATTTTCATTTTATACTTAAAATTTAAACAATGAATTTTGTTAGGAAAAATATGTAGGAGTAGCAATATAAGTTACTCATATATATTTAAGGGTTTTACATATATTGCAGATATGTTAATATCATTCTTCCTTCAAAAGCTGAGTAAGTAAATACAGTTTGTTCTTTTATGCTGTTAAATTCCATTTATCAACAAGGTTTCCTTTCACTGGAAAGGTACATAGACATTTTAGTAATTTGGGCTGGGTATTGTTTGCTTTCTGTAACTATTCTGCTGAATAGAGCTATTAACAATAATGTTTGATGAATTTTGAGCATATTATTGAAGAGTATTTGCAAAAAGCAAATTCTGAATGATTCATATCAGATTTTTGATATGAAGAATCAAGCGTCTGAGATAGAAACATTATGTGCCTACTGACTTAATCAAGCAGCTTGAATTTTGAATATGGAATTTGTATATAAAGCTTTTGCAAATAAAATGCAAATTTAGAATTGTTCAGCAAATATGTTTAATTACAGATACACACTTTGAAATTCCACAGCTTGCTCAGTTAATTCATACATAAGAAAAGGGGTTACAATTGTGTCATTTCTGTGAATCATTCACCTTAAATTACTGGGTGAGCTTAATAAATCACCTTCTTTTCAGTTAATCAATTTCATATTAAAAAAAAGAAAAGCTTCAGACGTTTGTTCATGCTAACTAATTATTGTGTTGTTTTATTTCTTAACTGTCTGAAATATAAATCCACAGATTAGTATGTTCATATTTTGACTTTGCTAAGAATATGACAACTTGATGGTATTTAATATCACATAAAAATCAAATGAAATAATACCATGACAATTATGTGCTTGTCTCAGATTTGTAGTTTTACATTTGTATTATTTAATTATTGTCAACTGTTTCTCGCATTTTCATCTACAGCTCTTTGACATCACAAACCTCATCAGCCTGAATGTCTCCAGAGACCATTAGCAGCTGGTAAAATCTGGGATTTCCATCCCACTAGAAATTATGATATTATGTATGTAATATCATAATATGTTACAATACTTCTCAGCACCTCAAATTAGCCTGAAAATCAAGATATTAACCTTTTATTAATGTAAATGAAAAATAAGGAAGGGGTTTGGAAATGTCTAAACATCTTGTTTGAACTGTAGCATAATAAATAACATTTCCCTTTGGGATGAAGCTTTGATTCAAACCATTTTGATTCAAACCATTTTGTTTGGTGTTCGACTGTGAACACCAAGGTCCTTCCTGACTGTTTTCCAAAAGTTATGTTTTAAGGAAATGCCCACTCAGACTACTTTGTTCAAAATTTACTGCAGCAGAGAAACCCAGATGACTCACGGATAACAATCAAGTCACAAAGCCCAGACCAGAGAAAAAATGTTGTTACAAACCAAGTAAACTGCAGCTCCTCTGAGACGTGGTGGTAATTAAGGAGAATATATATTAATATTCCAACAAATCAGATGTAAAATACACATATAATAAATTAGGTTCATTCCATTTTTTTCAATGGGAAAGTGACAAATTTTTGCAATACCTACATTTTCCCAACTTCATTTTCCACCCCTTTCCCACAAAGAATAGCAAAACATTTTCAGACAGTTCTAGTAACTTCTGGAATATCCACTTAAGGTAAATGAGAAATGAAATAGATTATATCATTCTGGTTTCCCTCCTGCATGAAGGCCCTCAAGTGCTGAAAACATAAATAGTTCTTCCTCTACTGCTTTTTATCAGGGATTATGGGTTATCCAGAGGCTTCAGAGTAGTCCTGTTCCCAAGAGTCAAGGTTTAAATGAAAAGGAAAACCAGACACAGAACTGGCATATATTGACTTTGATTTAGACTAGACAGCAGAGTTATGTTTCTCTCCAACGTTCAAAGATATGGCACAAAAACATAGTGTACTTTACATATGTCATGTTTTAAAAGTATTGCATCTCTAGAGACCACTTACTCTTTTCTCAGCTTTTGAAGTCTGATGTCATGTTTTTTGCTGTACCTAACTCACAGCCCTCACTCATTTCATGTCATGTCATATCTTTTATCACCATTTCATCAGATACTTCCTTGAGAGGAACTAATATGTTACCATGTGGGTTTTATTGTTGTCACAACAGTTAAGTTTGGCCCCAGATTTGTTCCATTCTGTGCTGTATGACTGTGAGAAAACATTTTCATCTGCCATTTTCCTTAGTGCTTTTAGTGTTAAAAAAGTTGTCCTGAAGGAGTATTTACATAACAATATTCGTCATCCTTGACATAAATCAATCTCTATGGCTGTTTGCACTTTGTGCCAGCCCAACAGCTTTGGTTTGACATAGTATTTGTCTTAGAGGCAAGTGTCAATTTGGAGCGAGGCTCTCCTGTTACTCTGCAATTTATGTTATTGTTGTTATTCATTATTGGTATCTGTTTCTTTTAAATATTGATCTTTAGTCAAGGATAAATTAAATCAGTCTGTCATTCTATTCCACAGCAAGATTTCTCAAACCCTAAAAGGTCATTGTTCTTAATTCTTGTTTAGATACAGCTAATTACACTGTACCATCAAAACACAAAACCCTTTCTAAGCCATTCATATTTCTTGATTGTCCCATCAGAGCAAATGAATAGGGGCTGGCCTAGTTAGCATTGTATGACAAGAATTCACAGTATATTGCCTTCCACTTGGTGGGGACTTCTTTCACATATCTGGGGAAATAACTCCAATTACCATTTTCATGCATTAAAATTTCACTACATAATGTAAACAAGTCCTATAGCAAAATTCATAGAAGCTGCAGATACAGAGGATCATGTTCTAGTATCTTGCACTGGTGGTTATGTTTTAAAGGCAACAATGTGCATGTTGATAGAGGGAAGCTGCATGAGTTCTTATGGAGTGCTTCAGTCACTGGATATCTCACTTTGGAAGCTAGAGTGGAATTTGTGGATTTTGGGAAATGAAGATGATATTGCAAAAGTATTTTTAATGCAGTTTGTGCTTTCAAGAATGCCTATAAGCAGCAGCAAAGAAACTGCAGGAAGAATGGTTTAAAATAAATAGATGTCAAATGCAAATTGTTTCTAACTGAATTTGACAGGAAGAAATATGATGCGAGGTGATATGATATAACTTTAAAATAATGTGATGGATTTCTTCTGTGTGAAGGGCCAACAGAAAAAAGTATCTCAAAGGATACATTTTTACAGGGACTAGTCAAATGAAATCACTACAGATAATGAGGTTATAATGGGACTTTGAACAGAAATTTTGTGTCATTATGCTATACCATATGGATTTAGATATGTTGAACATAATCTACAGTGCTCATCTGGGTATTGAGAAGTATAAAATTAGATCCCAAGATGCCCTACTTTAGTGAGATAATAGTGCTGCTATGGCAGATAATATAGGAAAGTGAAGTGTGCACTTATGTCAGGGAATGACAAAAGAAACATTCAAATCATTTTAGTCCAAGAAAGACAAAGTGCCAGACTCAATAAACAGGGAATAATGACAGTACATGCCAGGTACAGGTCCTGCCTGGAAAACCATCTTGCACAGAGAGATTATTCTCTAAACCTGCTTTTTTCCTCACTTTCCTGTTGGGAGGTAGGAACTACGGAGAGGGAAGGTCCCCAGTAACCGCTGGCCTTTGAGCCCTCAGAAATCACTGAAAACTGATATGCATTAGAAGTCCCTCTAAGCTGGAGGTGGGACCAAAAAACAAGGAATAGGAACTGTTTGTTGGTTGCTAATTTTTTTTATTTTCTCAGTGAAGGACAGTCAGGAAGAAGTAAGGGAAGAAGAGCAATGTGCTGCCAGCTTTTCCCAGTACTCGCAAAAAGCCAGATAAGCTCTTTACTCAGCTTTCTATAGGGCTATCGGCTGCAAAAGAGGAAATGGTGATACTTAAGGAGCGTTGGTCAGTGAGGCAGATGCTGAAGATGGGATAACAGTAACTGCTGAGTTGATTTGTAAGGCTTTAATGCCACTCTCTCCCTCATTATAAGAAGCTTATTGAAAAATTTCTATGCTGCTCCCCAGACTGCACCATTAATTTAGCAGAAAGACAGTAAGAAAGTGATTAAAAGTTAATAAAATAAAAATTTCATTACTCCAGAACGTGTAAGAAAAATAATACTCAGTGTTGCTTGAATCTAAAGCAGTTGCTTGGAGTCTAAATGCAGATGTGTCAAACAGTCATAATAAAATAGTTTTGATGGAGGCATAAGGTAAATCATCAGGTTTATATGCACATAGCTAGGATGTGGTGTATCATTTGCAACAGCTCTATAAATTGCTGCTTCAGTAAATAGTAAGTATGAAGTTACTTACCTTTTCTTGCTGAGTCTGTGGGATGTGAAGTAATATATGTCAAGGACACATGGAACAACTGCCAACAGCTCTCAGACTTGCAGTACACAGCTAATGAAAAATGAAGACATTAATTGTGGGAACTTTGGACAGCTGAGACCTATATTAGGAACCTGGTCTTCAGCTCCTGTAATGAACACACTATCCAGATCTTACATGTAATGAGTTTTCCTGTGGAGAACTGTTTTGTCCTCCAGAAGGCTGCCATGTAACTCGGGACTAACACGAATTGAAAACAAAAAATATCTCCTCAAGGCAGTGATACTATCTCAGTGACTGCATTGACCTCTGCAGAGCAGGTTTACAAGCTTCCTGGGCGCTCAGGAGTTTACTAATAGATGAACAATAAGAAACGAAAAAACCTATTCAGTAAATACCATATGAGAGAGAATGCCAAGCAAACATGCAGATAATTTCTGTTAATAAGATCACTGTGGTTTAGAAACACTTCAGCAATTTCCAAAAATTCCTATGAATCTGGTAAATAAAACTTAAAAATCTGGAGACTGCAGGTAATCCTGAAGGAATAGCTATACACCAAAAAGCACATATGTGCATTTGTACTAATGTACACATTTGTACTAGGGAAGGGCTGTGGATGCTGTCTAACTAGAATTTTTGACACAGCTTTTGACACCGTTTCCCCAGCATTCTCCTGGAGAAATTGGCTGCTCATGGCTTAGGCAGATATATGCTTCACTGGATTAAAAACTGGATGGATGGCTGGGCCCAAAGACTTGTGAACGGAGTTAAATCCAGTTGGCGGCTGGTCACAAGTGGTGTTCCCTGTGGCTCAGTATGGGGGCCAGTTCTGTTTAATATCTTTATCAATGATCTGGACAAGGCGATCGACTCTCCAGATCTTACTGCACCCTCAGTAAGTTTGCAGAAAATACCAAGTTAGGTGGGAATGTTGATCTGCCTAAGGGTAGGATGGCTCTACAGAGGGATTTGGACAGGCTGGATTGATGGGTCAAGGCCAAAGGTATAAGGTTCTGCAAGGCCAAGTGCCAGGTCTTGCACTTGGGCCACAAAAACCTACACTTGAGGAAGAGTGGATGGAAAGCTGCTTGGTAGAAAAGGACTTGTGAGTATTGGTCTACAGCTGGCTGAATATGA